CTCATACAGGGAGTGTTGTTGTAGGTGGATCTGCAGCTGAGCAGCAACTGCTTTTTCCAGAACTTTTGACAGAAATGGGAGGTGAGAAATTGGGCGGTAATTAGAAAGAATGTCTGGATCCAAATTAGATTTTTTCAGAAGAGGCCTAATGATGGCAGTTTTAAGAGGCAGTGGAACTTGACCAGACTGCAGTGACTTATTTATTATTTGTGTGATTAATGGGCTTATTGCAGAGTGATTGGATTTAATGAGAGACGAGGGGAAGGGATCCAGGGCGCAGGATGTAGGCTTCATTTTCTTGATGATGGTCTCCACTTCACTCAGAACAACCTCATCAAAGCAGCTCAGGGACCCAGAATGCAGACGGGTAGATGGCAGATGAAGATCAGGGAGGCTATGGAGCTGAGATCTAATGGAGTTAACTTTGTTTTTAAAAAATGAAAGGAGCAGGTTGCATTTTTGAACAGAGTCCTCATGAGACTGTTTAATGGGATTAAGGAGATTTATTGTGGAGAAGAGTTGTTTAGAGTTTCCAGGGCAGTTGTTGATGATGTTGGAATATTATTTGGACCGTGCTTCTTTAAGAGAAAAGGCGTAGGCTTTCTGATGTTCTTTAGATGCCTGCTGATGTACAGAGAGACCAGATGATTTTACACGTCTCTCAATAGCACGGCCAGCTGCTTTCATCCTGCGCAGCTAAGCAGTGGACCAAGGGGCTGAACGGGAGAAAGACACCAGCCTTGCTTTAAAGGGAGCATGGAGGTCCAGAAGCTCCTGGAGAGACTGGTTGTAGTAATCCACAGAGTCATTTGCAGATGAGTGATTGACAGCAGTCAGGGAGTGGAGATCAGAGGACAGAACCTCAGGGGAAATGTTTTTAAAGTCACGGAACTGGATAAGTCGTTTAGGATTAGGAGCAGATGAAGTTGAAGGCACTTCCAGGGAGATGACACTGTGGTCTGAGACACCCAGGTCATAGACAGATAAGTTATTGATAGGTACAGTGTCTGTAATCACCAAATCCAGAGTGTGCCCCCTGTTGTGCGTAGGGGCGTCAACATACTGAGTGAGATTGAGAGAGTCCAAAAGAGACTTAAACTCTGCTGCCAGAGGGGAAGAGGAATTATCAATGTGGATATTTAAATCTCCAAGAATAATATTTTTCACAGGAGATGCGCAGAAAAAAGTGAGGAGGTCATGCATCTCTGAGTTAAATGAAACATGTGGTTTGGGAGGCCGATAAATCAATAGAACATTCATCAGGAGGGGGGCTTTGAGGTTGAAGGCCAAACATTCAAAAGACAAAAAGTCCTGAGAAGCTAAATGTGATCATTTTAAATGACTGCGGTAAATTACAGCCGGACCACCACCATGGCCAGTGCAGCGGGCTTTCTGCAGGTAACTGTATCCAGAGGGACAGGCTTCATTCAGAGAGCTGTACACATCTGGTTGATGCCATGTTTCAGTAAGGCACATGAGGTCCAAATTCTTCTCCAGAATATGATCACGAATAAGACATGATTTATTGGACAGTGATTGAACATTGAAAAGTTCTTTTTTAATATTGGTTGGCGTAGAAGCCTTTAGAAGGGGTTTAAGCAGCCTGAAGTCCACTCCACGTTTTCCTTGCCACTTCATGTGCTGTGTTCTTTCAGCAATATCAGGAACTACAGAGGCAGTGTTCCGATGACGTAATCGATGTGCGGCAGGACCGGTAGTCCAGGGATGGAGTCAGACCCAGCTTGCCGAGAGTAAACAGTTCTCTACCAAGAACCTCTATGGACATAACGAGGTCTACGCAGAAGGCCCAGTTTTTTAATGGTAGAAACAGAAGGTGGGATGGAGCAGTTGTTAAGTCCAATCAGCTGGGAGGCGGAGTAGGTCAACATCGACGAGCCAGCCAAGCCGGGGGAAGCTAGCACAGAGCTAGCCGCTAACAGCAGACCCACAGCTCCGAAAAGGATATCCAAAAGGCAGTGCGATGTAATCCACAGCATAGCACAGGAAAAAATCCAGCAAAAGATGACAAACTGGAACAATCCAGATGACACAGGAGGTTGACAGAAGCAGCAAGGTAAGCGCAACAATAATAGTTGCTAGTTCTTCAAGGAAAGTTTGAGCCGCCGTGCTGGAGTTGTAGGTTGACAGCAAAAGTCCCAAGTTCCGGTTAGGGAGTGCTAATAAGCTGTCTGTATAAGTACTGATTGACAAATTACTGAACAAAAAATAAGTCCAGATAAATGTCCATGAATATAGCAACAGTATAATGACTTTTTAGCGCGGAGAAGCGGCGAACATGCAGCGCCAGCGTCTTCTCCTCTCAGCGTGCACCTCACCTCTGTAAACCTAATAAACACGCACACACCTAAACCTAAAACCTAAACACACCTCCTTAGATGCATTAATCTGTCCTCCAGCTCTAATGTTAAAAATCTTGGTGTTATTTTTGATCAGGACATGTCTTTTATCCCCCACATTAAAAACGTTACTAGAACCTCCTTCTTCCACCTGCGTAATATCACTAACATTAGAAACATCTGATCTAAAGATGATGCAGAAAAACTGCTCCATGCATTTGTCATGTCTAGACTGGACTATTGCAATGGTTTATTATCTGGGTGTCCAAATACTTCTTTAAAACGTCTTCAGTTGATCCAGAATGCTGCTGCCAGAGTCTTAACTGGAGTTACTGGGAGAGATCATCTCTCTCCAGTTTTAGCTTCTCTCCATTGGCTCCCTGTCAAATCCAGAATATAATTCAAAATCTTACTTCTACCCTACAAAGCTCTCAACAACCTAGCTCCATCTTATATTACAGATCTTATTGTTCCATATTTTCCTAACAGAACGCTTCACTCTCAGGCTGCAGGTTTACTTGTGGTTCCTAGAGTTTACAAAAACAGAATGGGAGGCAGATCTTTCAGTTCTCAAGCTCCTCTCTTGTGGAACCAACTTCCAATCTCTCTGTGAGGCTGACACATTGTCCAGGTTCAAGACTGGACTTAAGACTTTCCTTTTTGATAAATCCTATAGTTAGGGTCGGCTTGGGTTTCCTGAGCTGTCCCTTAGTTCTGCTGCTATAGGCTTAGACTGCTGGAGGACAAACTGACCACACTTTTCACTCTGCTGCTGTTTTTACTTACTCTGCTCAACCTGTTTTGTATTTGTAATTATTTTTTCTATCCTTAACATGTGTTTTTATGTTTCAGGTACACCTGGACCTATATCTGGTCCTGGACCTATACCTGGACCTACCATTCTGTGTTCGTCTGTCTCTCCTCCCTGTCCTCTCAACCAGCCGGTCAAAGCAGATGGTCTCTTGTCCTGAGCTGGTTCTGCTGGAGGTTTCTTCCTTTTAAAACAGAGTTTTTCTTTCCACTGTCTCCACTGTGCTTGCTCAGGATGGGAGACTGCAACGAAGCCAAGATTCATCTTGTCTGCTGGATTCCTTAGATAGAGAACTTTACTAACTGGCTTTTATGTGAATGTTCCTGTAAAGTCCCTGAGACAACTTTGTTGTGATGTGGTGCTTTATAAATAAACTGGATTGATCATTGAGAATAGAAAGTTTATTCTAGGCAAAACCATAATTTTTATTGAAGCAATCCTTCCCATAATAGATAAGGGTAGAGATTTCTATCTAACAAGATCATCATCAATTTTCTTTAAAAGTGGGGTGTGGTTTAGTTTTGTTAAATCTGCCAATCTAGGAGACTTTGATACCCAAGTACGTAATATTCCCTGACTGCAGTTCTGTAGTAAATTAATTGTTGAAAGAACAATTAATTGGTAAAATTATGGATTATAACCAGTTTATAGAGTAATCTGAAACTCTTGAAAAAGAGTTTATCAATCCAGTAACCTGAGAGAGGGAGGTTTGAGAATGCTGGAGGAAGAGCAACACATCATCAGCATATAGACTGATTTTGTGCTCTATGTTTTTGCATTTTATGCCTTTATCTAAATCTCCAGTTTATACTTTATGGGATTTCTTTTCCATTTGCTAGAGTTAAAGAGACAGGAGCATGATCACTGACAGCTATAGGGTGTCCGAGATGTCTGTCAACAACGAGCTGCTGACTAAAAAATAATCTAGATGAGAGAAAGAGCGATGGACAGGTGAGAAGAAAGTATACTCCCTATGGTTCAGGTGAAGAGATCGCCATGCATCACACGGTGAACCAAAGCCCATTAAAAGTTTATTAGCAGTAAATTTCATTTATATTATATATATATATATATATATTTAATTATACAGACCCTTTAAAAAAAATTTAGAATATCGTGGAAAAGTTGTTTAACTTCCATAATTCCATTCAAAAAGTTCATCTTTAATAGATGATAGATTCAGGGCCCACAATTTAAATGATTTCAAGTATTTATTTGTTTATTTTTACATAATTTGGGCTTCCAGCTCAGGGCAGCACGGTGGTGCAACTGGTAGAGCTGCTGCCTCTCAGCGAGCAGGTCCCTGGTTCAAATCCCGGTCCAGGGGCCTTTCTGGGTGGAGTTTGCATGTTCTCTCCGTGC